TTTTCTTTAAATCCAATTTCATTTTTTATTTTTTAAAAATCCTAAACAAAGTCGAATTCAAAAAAAAAAAAAAAAGGGGGTTGTAGGGCTTAAAATTCCCTACAACCCCATATATATATATTTTACCTATTATTTAATTCAGGAAAATTCGTGTAAAATCAGGTCCGCGGTGCGGACCAGGTAGGCCGCGGATGCGGACCCATTTGGGTCCGCGATCCGAGCTCGACCTCGCGGACGCGTCCGCGGGTGTTTCATAGCCCCGGCTGTCTTCTCTTTCTCTTTCTTGTTTTTTTTTGCTCGTCCCTCCCTTCCCCTCCTTGGCTATGGTTCCCTCACTCTTCTCGGCCTCTCACTCTGTCCTCTCTTTCACCTCTTCGCTGGACTGCACCGCGGTCTTCACAGGTACGTGACAACTGAACTTTTCTCTCTCTCTCTCTCTCTCTCTCTCTCTCTCTCTCTCTCTCTCTCTCTCTCTCTCTCTCTCTTCTTCTTCTTCTTCGTGGTCCTCTTTGCAGGTGCGCGCGGCGGCTTCTTCAACCTCCGGATCCGCTATGGCGGACTTCCTCTCCGATGGCGACTTCGGCTATGGCGCGTAGCTCTCCCTGCGGCACATGACGAACGCGCGTGGAATAGCGGGTACCAGCTCCGACACCAATGCAATCAGACTCGCTTTCATTCACACTTCACACGCATGCAAACTGGTTGCGCAGCAAACTGGTGACAAGCGCCCACTCAGAAGTCAGAGATATGGTAGCCAAGAACGCAGTTCGGATACAAGTTCACTTCAAATGGCTATGGCGGCACAGCGCCTGTACACCTCTCTGTTCATCACTCACTCAACACTGCTGTTCGCACACGGGATCACCCTGGATATCCCACACGCAGCACACTGTACACTCTCACACTCACACACACTACTCTCTCCTATCAGCTATGGCGGCAATGGCCGCTGCTACCCTATCGCTATGGCTAAGCTCCTTCTCTCGCCCACTTCGTCTTCGGGCTCACTGCAGACCACCTCGCACAAGTCGCTGTGGCAGCGCTTCCGCATGGCTTACGCAGGAATGAATGAATGGCTGGGCGCTGCCTCTTGATTTATACTTCTGTATCTCGTTGGTCTGCCCCTTTCCCATGCCCGTGGTGCACACAGTCCCATGCGGTACTTGCTTGACTGGTCTAGGACTGACTGGGACTGGGACTGCTGACTCAGCACGGGTAGACTCCACCACTTGCCCACTTGCCTCAGCCTAAACGTGAGCAGCTTAGAAAGGCCACTACTAGGACCTCGGAAGGCCGTGGACCTGGCCTTTCGATACTGTAGCAGCTACGACCTTGACCCTTCAGGACTGTAGCAGCTACGACCTTGACCTTTCGGAGGAGCTAGCTACGACTTCTAGACCTTACTAAGACTCCTATCCGACAGGTCTACAAATCGAACCCCTATAACCTACAGACCTACGACGACCTACTAACTGGGGAAAGGACACAGGTTGTGGGTTCAACTCCTGGGATCGACACAGATACGATACACAGGTAAGGTAAGTCTAGGTATCGAGCCCTGGGATCTGCATCGGCTACTGCAAACAGGTGAATATCGTTTCACTCCCGCCGGCCTAAATTCGAGGTCCTCCGAGAATAACTCAGTTCAAGGCAGGACCTTTACCTTTCAGGCCATGGGATCGAGCCCTGGGATCTGCATCGGCTACTGCGAACAGGTGAATACCGTTTCAGGCCATGCTAATCTTCTATGTATAGTTCCAAATTTTGACAGATGTCCCAAAGGACGTGTACATTATTTTTGCCTTCTTTTTTCTTCTTGTTCTCTTTATTTTTTGTGCATAGTGTATTTCGTGAAATTCGCCTACTGGCCTACTTTTTCTGTCTTGAAGACTGATCATGGCCATCGTAACCGATGATTATAGAACAATGACAGTCAGAATCCCCTCCCTCACCCCCCCCCAAAAAAAAAAGAACTCGGAATCCTGACGAACCCCCCCCAAAAATCACACTTTGTCGCTCCGAAGACACATACGTACGAAGGACAAAATTAGTGTACACAAAGTTCCTGTCTATCAGCAACCGAAATTCCACCCCTCCCCACTTATTACTGAGCAGTTCACGGTTTACGGTCTACAATCCACGACCTCCTTTGTTTGCTTAAAAAGTCGTCATTTCTTCGGTTTGACGTCCTGCGCAAGGATGCCAATATATGTATACATAATATATACTCTGTTTGACCATATATATACATATCTCACGAGAATATACGCATAATACCTATATACATAAATGTATACGTACATATGATCTTAATCGAACAAGGAAAAGATTTTAAAAAATTAAAAAGAAAAACATTAAAATCAACCAAAATCGACCAAAATGAATAAAAAAGGAAGCGTACATCCACTCATGACTGCCGTGACCCGCGTCGTCGTTTCCGTCGAGATTTGCGCAATTTCTGCATAATCCTCCGTGAAGGAGAGTCTTCATCACTGAGCTTGGCGGTATCATCCTGATCGGTGGTCACGATCTGTAAGGAGGACGAAGTCTGGAGGGCACTTGCCGTCGTCAAGCGAAACTGAGTCGGCCCGGTCAACAGTATGAGTCCACGGTCAAACTCTTCATCATTCGGCTGGTCATCATCATCTGCACGAGGGTCATCAAATCCATCATCATCATCATCATCCGCAACCCTGCCGCCATCCCCACAACATGTTTCACAATGAAAATGACCGTCTACTTCTCCACGCTTCCTCTTTCCAAAAGTAGCGGACACCCCTGCCCACTTCCTTTTCTCCACGTCAGCATTTACAAAAGTAGTCGTCGCCGTTGGCAACCCTGCCGCCATCAGCACAGCATCTTCAACGGCGGCCTTAGCGGCGGAGCCCGTCTCCGACACCGCAGAGCGCGCCAAACTGAATGAGGATGACGTCAACAAAACTGAACCCACAGCGCCGCCGTTACTCCCGACTGCCATCCTGGAGGAGAAGCCGGAGACCGGCGGCACTCCAGCGTCTTTTCTGTTGACATCAAAGGTCACAGCAGCAGCAGCAGCAGCAGCACTAGTAGCAGTAGTAGTAGTAGCAGTGGTAGTAGTAGTAGTAGTATTACCACCTCTACCCTGTCGGATTGCAGATCTGTTGTTCTGACGACTATGATGACACATGGCTGATTGTCGTTTCCCAGATAGTGGGGGCAGTGAGGCCTCGTAGAGAGGAACGGGCAGAGGAGGGGAAGGGGACGGTCGCACTCTATGTCTATCCCGATCGGGACAACACCCTTGGTTATTAGGACCATTGACGGCGGCAGAAATGGACGTCTGGTCAACGCTTTGAGTTGACCTCTCCCTCCAGGCCTTCCGCTTGTTGCCGACGCAGCCGCGGCTGCGTTCCGTGCAATTCCAGTCCATAGCCAATGGCGAAGCGTTCCTCGCCACCATCTCCATCCGCATCATCTCCTTCTCCTTCCTTTTCGCCATGGATCTGGAGCCCGAAGGTAATGGCGAAGACGCCTCCTCCTCATCTTGGCTGGCAATTAGATTTCGGTGATAAGCGCTTCGATTGTGACGAGCTCCAATCCATGGAGACGAAGACGAAGAAGGGAGAGAAGACATGGCTGCAGCGTTGACCACTCCTCTTTCTCCATCATTTTCCAACCCCCTCCTTTCCAAACCCCTCCCAGTTCTGGTCGATCGACCACGATTGTTCTTGTCATGGACGGCCACGTGGGAGTCTGTCAACGCCTTGTGAGGTGGAGAAAGCTCTAGCAATGACAGGTAATCACGATCAGCTTTCTGCGCTGCCTTTCCATCATCATCATGGCCACCACCATAACCATCAAGTTTTCTTCGGCACGACCGAGAAGCCGCACCCTTGCTAACTCGATCCGTATCCAGATTTCTTCCCTTAGGGCCATCCACTTCATCCTCCACATCAGCACGACCATGATAATCATAGCCCCCATCCTCATCAACGAAGTCATCAAGATGATCATCAGCACCAGCTGCAGCAGCATCATTGGAGCGATCACCTCGAGATTGCCGATAAACCGCCTGCAGCTGCTCAGCGCGGTCTACGTGATGATTTCGACACTGCCTTCTCCCTCCACCGCCCACAGGATTGTAACCTACCTCCCCTGCTCCTCCTCCGGCTGCTAATCTTTCTCCCAGACAACGCCCTTCTCCATCCAAGTCTCCCTGTCTCTCCCGTGAGCCTTGCTTGCTTATGATCATCTTCCTCCTCTCTACGCTATGGTGCGTTATACTCCCTTCTCCTCCTCCTCCCCCTCCTCCTCCCCCTCCTCCCCGATCAAAGTCTTCCTGTCTCTCTAGTGAGCCTTGCTCGCTTATGATCATCTTCCTCCTCTCTACGCTATGATGTGTTATACTCCCTTCCTCTCCTCCTCCTCCTCCTCCTCCTCCTCCTCCTCCTCCTCCTCCTCTTAAGCCTGCGTGTAGAATTCGTTCTAGTATTCTTTCATTTTGAAACCCTATCTCAGCCATCAGATCCTTCTTTATCATCGTGAACCGATCGTCCAGTAATCTTGGCAATAACGTAACTAAGCTTTCTTGCAGCTGATCTCTCAGCTTGGTACAATGGCCTTCAATCATGGACTGCATGGTCTGACGATTGTCCGCATCAGCCGCCTCTGTCTTCTTCTCCCGTCTCTTCTCTTCGTCGACAGACTCTTGCCGCCATTCTCCAACAACTCTTGTCATGTTGCCTACATCTTCTTCAATCGATCTCATCATCGATTTCATGGCATTGCATTCGTTCTGAACACCGTTCAACCTTTCCTCCACCCTCAGCTGCTCGGCGGTCCGAACCCACTCCTTAGAGACGATGCTTTGATGAAGGATGGCCGTAGCTGTGGCCGCCATAGCCGAGCTCGGCCTTGGCAACTCGCTCTGCTGAGAGTTGACCACGCACATTCCTCCCGCTCCTCCCCCACTACTTCCGCCATCGCCGCCGCCGCCGCCCGGTCCAGCGCCAAGAACTGGCGGCTGTGAAGTGTAGGCAGTGTAGTACGGCGACTTCGGCCGTCGGATTGACGTTTCCTGGTGTGCTAGCCTTTGGTGCTGCTGCTGATCCAAGCCTCGGCTGGTCGCGACTCCGCCCCATCCGCTCGGTCCCGATTGCCGCACTCCTCCTCTGGTTGGACTGCCACCCATCCTCCAGCATGGTTTCGTAGCTGACGAAAGGTTCTGCTGCTCTCTTGCTCCGTCGCCGCCATGGCCGACGATCCCCCCTCCATCACTAGCTGCACTTCGACAATCCCCTTTGCTTCGAGACTCACCGTTCGTTCCTCCTCCTCCTCCTCCTCGTCCGTCAAACGATGCTTGCTGCGACTGCGAATAAATCAGCTGGGACTGAGAATAGCCGCTCCCGTTATTGCTGCCGTTAATGCTGCCGCCGTTAATGCTGCCATTCACGTAGTTGTCATTGTTGATGCTAGCACTCCTCTGGCTCTGGGATGAAGGGTGACTGATGCCACCCACTTGAGATGCTGATGAATGGTTGTGAAAACCGACGGGTGGTCCTGGTCCGATTGCATGGTCACGATTGTTCAACCCACCCCCGATCCGAGGACCAAGACCTGAAGGAGGTGGTCCGGACACTGGACCAGGTCCAAGACCAGGTCCACGGACAGAGTCTGGTCTACTCCTGGCGGTCGAAGAAGACGATCCTGGGTATTGCTGCTGCCGTCGAGGAATCAAGTTTCCGCTCCAGGAGCTCCAAGAACGAGCATTCCCAGACATGCTGGTCCGCCCCTGAGTCACCAGCAAACTCCCCTTAGCTGTGAGGCTGCAGTGGATTATGCTGAGTCTGCGGAGCGCTTATTGTCATATCAACTGGACTTGTTGCGCATTCGCTAAGTTCAACACATTGTCTGCCTTGTTCCTCCTTTCCTTCTTCCTCTCGCTTGCTCTTCCCTGCTTTCTTCCTCCTCTTCATTGGTTCTTTCCTGAAGCAGTAACCAGCACACGACAAAAATTGGCGCCAAGATGAGCCGTCAAAAGTCAAAGGTCAATTAAAGGTAATGCTTTGAAGTCTGGAAAATTTAATACGAACAGGGCTTTCTTTCTCCTCATCATCGGTTCTTTCCTGAAGTAGTAAGCAGCACACAACAAAAAATGGCGCCAAGCAGAACCGTCAAAAGTCAAAGGTCAATTAGAGGTAATCCTCTGAAGTCTGGAAAATTTAATACGACCCAGGGCTGGGTACTTCACTAAGAATATTACTCCCGTAAGTACTAATTACCGTCTTCCCCTGAATAGAACGTACAGTCATTATGCCTGTATTTGGTGCAACTTGCAGTCTAGATGCAGCAATAATGACTGTACGTTCTATTGCGGGGAAGACGGTGGCATACCCCATGATAAGAATGAAATAAGGCATCCAATTATATTCACTGCCACCTACACCATGCTTATCGAATCCGGAAAAAAAAAAAATAAAAAAAATTGAACGCCTTCAATGTGCAGTGAGACTGACCGGCGTACAGGCTGCTCAAAAAGAAGCGAGCGCAGTCGAGACAATTTCATAACGGATTTCAAACCAAGATTCAAGCAAGAGAATGTTCAGCAGTTTAACACATAAGAGTGAAATACATCTCCCGCTCCCTTCCGTCCTTCTATTGGAACTTTTCCTAATGAGGTAATTGCAGAAATAGCACGTTTCCGAAGTTTCCGCGACCTGTAAAGCTGCAACGAAACTTGGGGCCCGCCACTCCTTTTGCTGTGAAACTAGAGCGATCGCGCTATTTATGAAACTTACCCTTTCCTAATTCTATTTATTCATCGCTCGATGACTGTCGTCAATTTCTGTTGCATACTAGTGAAACACAGTCATAAGCATGGCGCAGATCCCCAGAACCAACCAGATCCCTGTTTCCCTAACCATTGTTCCCCATACCCACTAGAACATCAATAGACATCCCCTGTTCCCCTGACCATTGTTTCCCTTACCCACTACAACATCAATAGAAATACCCTATTTTCCTGAACACCGTTTCCCTTACCCAGTAGAACATCAATAGAAGTTCCCTGTTCCCTGAACTTTGTTCCCCCTTAACCTATAGCAAACCATGCAGTCCCCTTACTTCATCAGTTGGACTATCCTGCTCCCTGCCGTCCCTTTAGTCCATTTGTAGGACTACCCTGTTCCCTACAACCCCCCCTAGTTCACCAGTAGGACAACCCTGTTCACCGGTACCAAACCCTGTTCCCCCTTACTCCCGCAGCCCATGCCACCCACATTATACCCCTCTTCCCTTTCGACTTGTTAACCAGTGATCGGCCCCGTCCCGTCCTTCACAGATTTCAGCATTGCTTCATGATTTTTGGCAGCCGGGACGTTGCCTTCTAGAGGGAGGGGATAGCGTTACGGACTTCGCCAGGGCTCGATCCCTGGTCTATCTTTTGCTGTTTCGGCTGCATCCCGTTTTCGGCCTGGCACCCTTTTTCCAAACCCCTCCTTTGGTACCGTAGGATTTTGGACAACTGGCGCCATGCTGCAATTCGGGCGCCACTTTCAAATACCGCATTTTTCAGTTCTGCCCTCGAGGTCTTTGCAGAAATGCCTTGCAGAAATGCCCCTGGTACCGGACGTGTCACCAGTACTTATACCGGCTCCCCGTACGGTACGGGGAGCAGTCTCGCACCAGTTTTCAGCTGCTGTGCTCGTACTCAGCGTGACTTGCTCCTGTTTCGGCATTCGGAATCCAAGACTTCGACTTTGTGTCTTTGCCACTGTCTGCCTCCGACCCTCGGTGGTGTGAAGTGAGCGAGTGTGTGTGTGTGCTCTCAGTCTCTCCCTCTCTCTCTCCTCCCCCTTGGCTCTTGCTGTTTCCCTCAGCCTCGCACTCGTCACACCCTTGCCCTTCGGTCCGCCATACTTAGGGGTACTTCTTAGCTCAAACTGAGCCTTACTCCAAACAGCTTGACTTGGTGTTGTTCACAAAGTAACTCCGATTCTAGTCACAGTGTCGTCAACAAAACCGTGCTCACTCAAGCCCGGGCAGTCGTATCCAGGCAGGTTCACACGTGCCTTCTAAAGGTTCAGAAAGTGAAATAGGGTGACCCGGGTGGCCCGGCTGGTCGCCTAGTTATTTTCTGTATTTTATTTTTATTTCAAATTTGGTAAGGAATTTGGATGTAATGCTCAGGCAAATGTTGTTTGTTTGTTTTTTTACATAACATATCCTTTTTTCAGATTTGCTTGATTTTTTTTTTATTTTATTTTTTTTTGGTCCGCGTTGGACGGAACGCATCCCCAAGGGGGGGGTCTCGTACATTTGGTTCGGGCTTTCGGCGCGTCCCGAACGTCAGTTACCTTGCACTGCGGTACTATTTCTCTAAATCTAAGAATTTGCGAAGGGGAGATTTGGGGATATAGTGTAGCCGCCATTCACACTGCGGAGCCATTTCCCTAAAAAGACGGCCACGACTGGTGCACGGGCAGGCCCTTTAGAAAGTGGCTAGTCACACGATACATACCCCTTTTCTTTTTTTCTTTGTTTTTTATTTTCCCTCATTTTGAATTGTTTTCCTATGGCTTCGCTCCACTACTCTCGAAATGTGCAAAACGAAAGTGAATCTTCCGCTAGAACATGGAAAGATACATCGCCATGATTTTTGTCTTTTGTGCATGTTCGGCGAAGTGGATCTATGAGCATCGTCATGGGAAATTTTCCCCATTCCTGTTTGTTAATTAAAAAAAACGAATCTGCAGTAACCTCCCGAGGTTACCTCAAATCCCCAAGCCCCGCGGCTCCGCAGGCCGCTGACAAAAGGGTGCACGCATAAGGTGTTCGCAGAAAAAAAAAAAAAAAAAGAAGAAAGAAATGGTGTGCCTGTGTGACTACCCCTCAACCCCAATTTTCAGTGCAATTGCAATTTTGGGTACCAGTGTGAGCGTGCGCTGTGTGTGGGATGCAAGACAGAACACGACCGAGTTCCTTCCTTCAACGTACCAAGATCTGTTTCTAAGGGCGTATTCACACTGAGACCTTGTTAATTGAATCTTAGCGGAAATATCATTCAGATACGTCCAGAAAATTAGTTCCGTGAGTTTTCCTTTTCCCAATTACTTCGTTCACTGCATGGGCCTTGCTCCACTACTCTCGACATGCACAAATGACAAAAATCATGGCGGTGTATCTTTCCATGTTCTAGCAGAAGATTCACTCTTGTTTTGCCCATGTCGAGAGCAGTGGGGCGAGGCCCCATTTCACAGCAAAAGCTCTGCAGTGATCAACGAAGGGAGACGAGGCGAATTCACGATTTGCACTGACAGGCAGTAGTACCGCCAAAGAGGAACATATTCCACCACAAAAACGGTCAGGTGCATGCGGCAGTACCATCAGAGAGGAAAAGCATTTCACCACAAAAACGGCCAGGCGCGTCAAAAATTTCATATAGATAGCGCCTCGCTCCACTCCTCTCCACATACACAAAAGACGAAAAAGAAAAATTGGCAATGTGATTCAGGGCGTTGCCGCACGGGACACGAAACGAGAAACGAAACGAATGTATCTTCCGCCATGGCCAGGTTCATCGGTTTCCTATAAATTGTAACGAGTGCATTTTGCCTCCTTTGGTCGGCAGATGCACTCGATTCATTTTCGTTTCGTGTGCCGTGCGGCGAGACCCTCAGTCTCATTTTGCATCTTGAGAGTAGTGGAGCGAGGAGGCCCATAGTTGCGACGTGATCAAGATGCTGACTCAACACGAAGCGAAGGCTAGACTGCACTGATCTGTCGGACAGCCGTTAGAATCGTACGGTCGAAATACAAGTTTCGTTTTCGTCGGTCAGTTACGTGAAATTCACATCCATCCGGTTTCCAGCAGGTGAGGCTCCCCACCAATAGATGGAGCGGCCACCAGACAAAGCCTCAATCCCGGTGGTTCTCTTACCACCACTGGGATAGAGGTTTTGCACAGGCCTTTAAAAAAATAAAATAAAATATATATAATAAAAAAAAAAATCACATCCATAGAGCCCCTACGATCGAGAGTCCTTTTTCCCTCGATCATTTTAATGAAGGGCGACGGCCTTGAGATATCATCAATGAGCTGACCGGTCCCAGGTAATTCAGAAAAATGATCTTATTCTGGTCATCTTTATTGCATCTGGGCTCGAACTTGGGTCTGATTCATATTTCAACAGTTCATGGGTGTACCAACTTAGCTATAAGCCCATCGGTACGATCGAGAGTACAACCTGGAGAAGAACTTCGGGCATCTTTGTTGCATCTCGATTCAAACTCGGGTCCCAATTCCAACCTTGCGCAGGGGGCAATGCTACTCTTCGTTCTCTGTATCGTTCCAATTTTAACGGACGTCCGGAAGGACACTTCGGGGCATACTTACATCAGCACTTTCATATGATCCACCTATCTGTAGTGAGCGCCACGTTCGGCCGAAAACTGCCTATAGTAAGTATGCGGCAGTGCATAACGTTCTATAGTCAGTATGCCGGCTACAATTTGAGAATTCTACAGCTAAATTCCAATTTGTTGAAACAATACGATGGCTTCCTTACTCAAATATCAATTTTTATAAGGTCTAGATGGGATTTCTTTATTCTTTGTGGTGTTGACTCCGTTCTTAATACCTATTTGCATGTTAGTAGAAAGAGCCGCGGTGCATAACGTCCTATAGCCACTATGCGCTCATATGCCCCTCGTGTGAGCGCACGAAACGAAAGGTTGTGCAATACGAATTCCTCTATCTATGTGTGTCATCCTTGCGTAGGGGCCGTGCTAGTAGTCTTCTCTGCTTCGTTGAAATTTTCATGGATATCCCCAAGAAGGGCGTGCAGATCGGCAGGGAAGAC